CCCCCCCCCCCCCCCCCACACACACACACACGCACAAGCGCCACGCGCAGGCGAACGCAACAATCAAGGAGAGAACCCGAGGGATACGCCAGCGGGACGGACAATTGAACGTGCGAGCGCAGAGCGAACATTACGCGAACCGTTGCTCTCCCCACCCCAACTACGCAAGGAAGCGGGCACAACAGCAGAGGACTCAATTCTCTGAACAAAAGCACGAGAGTCGCAAGAAGGAAGAACAGAATTACGCGGCACCAACATAGCAGGCGGCCTCTCCTCTCACTCTCCGACCCCCCCACTCTCTAGGACCACACCCGCACCCAACAGATCAAAGGGACACAACACAACCTTCTCTTGACCAATGGCGCATGTCCGAAGGACAACGCCAGGGTTGTACAGAGCGGGGGCGAGCGGGGGTGTACTTCTAGCCGCGCCTGCCGTTGTCGTTAGAACGGTGCAGGGCGGGGGGGGGGGCGCTATCCGACAAGCCTTGATCCCCGAATTACAGGTTTCGCACTCTGTTTTATGCCATGGAATGTTCCATGGAATGCTCTTGACCAGCCAAGAGAGCGAGCTGTCGCTCCGGCGCACGAGACAAACAAAAGGTACAATGAGTTGTACAGCAGTACCTCTCGAGGATGAGATCAAGGTAGGCCTCGTGGAGTCGAATGAAGCTCCGAAGAGAGTCGCACAGGGGTAACCGCGCCTCGAGCGCCGCCCACGGCTTCACCAACGCCTGCCATGTTCCATGTATGCACACAGCGGCAGCAGTGTCGAAAAAATGAAAAAATGGAAGAAGCGATTTCTACCTTATCGTTGAGCGTCTCGACCAGCTCTTCCCGGTTGGAGACATGCATGCTTCCATAGGGGTCAAGCTGCCAAACAAGACTACATATTGCGCATACAGCCCAAAGGCAGCGTTGAACATGGACCGAGATTGGAACCAAAGAAAAACAGTACCTGGCGGAGAAGCGAGTAGCGGTCCAAAATCCTGTCGGAGCAGCATTCGTCCCAAAAAAAGGAAAGGTCGATGTTCCTATGCCGGATGTCTACATACGCAAATGCTCGGTGTACGGTCAACTCGCACCATTTGCCACTCCTGCTACAATATCAGTCCTGCTTACATAGCAGCTGAGCGAGCTCCCTCTAAATGTCTGCACCTGGGTGACGGCGTAGTTTCGCACCGCTCTTGCAACGCGCAGAAACGCGAAGAGTCTGCAATGCTGCAGGTGCCGCTTGTCCAGCTCTCCCTCCGAACTCGAACGATTTCGCTGCGCGTGGCTGACAGTGCAGCGCGGGGCGAGAAACGGGAAAAGGGGGGCACCGCCGTGGTGGGAAATCGTCGTTGGTGTGACAGCAGTTTGTTGTCTATTGGGAGGGCGGGTGGGAGCAACGAGGCACTAAAAAAAAACAGCAGCATCACGACTGGGCTAAACGCGTCACGATAATGAGAGAGCACGTTTCCTGAAGGTGCATACATATAAAACGAGTCGTTGACAGAGTGCCAAAATAAAAAGGCTTCAGTACGCACTCTTTCACTGGCCGAGCTCCACCACGCCCCCCCCTCCCTTAACTTCCTTCGTGATGGGCGTTTTGCGTCATCCATGAACGTACATGTCATATCAACGAAAAAAAACAAAGAGCCGCCATGCCCCCCGATCCCCCAAAGAAAGAGAAATATATCTGATAGACAAATTCTGAAGCTTTAGCTTCAGTCTCATCGTTCGATATCCGTGGGTGGAATCTTCATTTGCATCCCCCACCCCTTGACCGACCCGGTCTCAAATGCTGATCTCGAGCTACAGTGCAAATATTATGGCGCCTCAAGCATGGTTCGGTAGGGAACCGCAAACCATGAACCGCCCGCGAATTTGAGCAGCTTCCACCCCCCGTGGCCGACACGACTTGGCCCTGACTGCTCCTTGTCCGTTTCGCCATGGGAACGGCCGGCTTAACAGAGAAAGAGTGTCCTGCGTGCTTGCGCACCACCATTTTCTTTTTATGTTGTTTCGTTTGTGATTCTTGGCCGTTGTACACATGCGGCTGCTGAATATGCCCAGAATGTGCTGTTAAGCTCACAAGGTAATCGTCGCTGTCGATTTGGGTTGCACGCGTTGCTGATCGAGTAGGTAGCGATCCACGTCTCTCACTTTTTTCTGTCGGTCGTCATTCAGCTAGTCGTCGCCAGTGAACAGCAGCAGTTGGAGAGACCAACAACAGACGGTCCGCCGCATGCTATGTATGATCTTGCTACGTGCGTAACTTGAGCGTCTTCTGCGTAGCATGGCAAGTAACTTGAACGATGAGGTCGATGACAGCACGATCTCACGTGTTACGAAGTAAGCTACGAGACCAGTGGACGCCTTGCTCATGTAGCGGTGCGCTCAACACGAACGGCAAGCGTATTGAGGTAGTACTTCGTCCGTGTTACTTCGTCATGTTCTTTTTTGTTTGTTGTTTGTTGTCCCTACAGCACAGAGACAGGGAGGATAGAGAGTCGATAGTTGGCGAACGGCGACTATTATCTCTTGCTCACCAGCGAGACTACGGCAACAGTACTATCATACTACGCATCTCATCAGTGTTCCCGATGTCGCCCTTCGTTGCGTTTGTTTTATTCTATTGCCGAGAGCTTTCGGTGGGTCAGAGAGTCGAGAGGGAGTGGAGTGTGTTCTCGTTAATGCCTTGTCTTCTCTCAGCTACCTCTCTCTCTCTCTCGCCTTTCGCCGGTGGGGTCCCAAAAACAACGCGAACCGCGATTGATTGTTTTATTTGTTGTTTGGGGTCCCCCCCCCCCCCNTACGGTTCGGTAGGGAATCGCAAACCATGAACCCTCCCCGAGTTTGAGCATCAGCTTCCGCCTCCTGTGGCGGCCAAGAACACCGGGAACTGTCTCCCCATCTAAACAACAGTTGGCCAGTTGAAAGAAAGAGGGTCCGGTCCGCCGAAGTTTTGTTTGTTTGATTTCCTTGCCGACGAATAATCTCGGCTACATACAACAGCGCAAATCTCATGGCGCGTCAAGTACGATTCCGCAGGGAATTGCAAATCACGACCCTTCCCAGACTTGAGTAGCTTCAACTTCCTGCGGCGGAAATACCGGCGTCAGACTCTAGATTTTGTCTGTCTGTCGCCATGTTGTCATCCGCGAGCAGCAGTTGGAGAGTCACAAACAAGGGGGTCCGCTTCGATTCTCCTTGCCGTGTGAGAGATGATGCTACCTTGTATCGGATATAGCTGTGGTTGAGCTTGAGGGATAGGGTCTACGGCAGCACATTCCACGTATGCGAGGGGTTAACGCATTCCTCGTATAGCAATGCGCATCTCCCACGGCAAGCAGAATGAACTACGTACTTCATCATGGTATTCTTTCTTGTGACTAATGCACAAATGCAAGTTCACCCGGGCGTTGTTCTTGTTCTTGCCGCGAGTGAAAGGGACTAAACTACCAGCCCGTACCCGGCCGCTGCATGAAAGGTGGTGGGTGCTGGGCCTGCTGTTTGCCGCCATACATGGAAAGCCTCCGGTGGGTCAGAACGGCAAGGGTGCACTGTTTCTTCACTCTTCTCTCTTCTACTTGTCCCCTGTCGCCGGCGGTTTCTTCGTTCTCGCTTGCTGTGAGGTGTACATACTTCCAAGCCGTGTCTGACTGTTTCGTATGTAGGGGATGTAGGGTCCCCGGCCCACCCACAACCCACCTGTCGTAATGGCTCATGGCCTCCAACATTTTCAGCTATAGAAGTGGTCTCTACTACTACAGGACATGGGCTACAACTGCTGCGTCCATGCGTGCAACAGAAGAGCCCCGGGTACCGGTGGCCTTCTGACCTGATCGTGCACAGAGGGGTTCCTGCCACCACCACAATACGACTCTATGATATGTCCATGACGGGGAATGCGTACTACGGCTCTGCTTTTTCCCCCTCTCTCCCGTCCAGCTCTTTCGTTTCGGAGAGGAAACCCAATCTGAAAATTACATCTTTTGGGGTCCGGATTCTTTCCGAGCGTGCGGATAGCGCGTTCTGGTGGTCTCCTTTTCATTCGAGTGTGATCCTGGGTACTATGTAGACGAAACAGATCATCAGCGAGACGATTAGCGTGATTCTTGACAGCATGGAGTCCCTCGCCACAAAAAGTGCATGCGAATGGATGGGCGTGTTGAGAAGTGCCCTCTCTTCTTTCTCTCCGCTCAAGGCTGGTCGAAGACTGACTGTATTTCTCGGGAGCGCGTGCGGTCGCCTCTAACTTAGCGCGAAAAACATGGTGAATCATGGTCTCCAACAACATAGACTACATATTTTTGTGAACTCGATCTTCCAGCAGCGGTACTGCACCATTACACCGATCCCCCACGAGCGATGACGCGCCGTTGCTGCAGTCTCGCCTGGCCCGTTTTGTCCTCTTTTGTTCTCTTGTCTTGTGTATTTGTTTGTTCTGGCGTGTGTTTTTCTCCTCCGCGTCTTTCTCATTTTCCCCCTCTCCTCATTCTTCTTTTGCATTTTTCCTTTGTTTTGTCCATGGTTACCTCGCTAGCGCGTACCAGGTACCAGGCGAAAGGAGGGTCCTAGACTAATCTGCCGTTGAGATTTCTAATAACATGCGGACCGTTTTCGGATAAGCTATCCTGTGCCCACACGGGGGGAATCGACCGCGTCATACATAAAAATAGTATGGACAAAGAACGGGACGGTTTTTATTGTGAAGACCACAAACAACTGGAACTGCTGGGTTCGTCCATGGATAGATTTTGCAGAGCTTACTGGAGTATGTTGGAGGAAGCAGCTCTCCGTTTCTAAGGCATGTACCTGCAGTGCTGTAGGTGACATATTATACCACAATGCCTTCATCAATATTCACAGCCAGCTAATGTTAGTCCACGACGACGAGGATGGATGTCAAACGATACGCTTGTTGTCGGAAGGCCATTCTTCTCTCTGCTGTGGAGTAATCGAGCTTTGAAATTTTGTTCAGGAGGTAGGTGTGATATCTTGTGTCACCTACTCTGTGTGCAGAACTTTTCGTCGTGCTCGGTGAGCAAGCAAGCGTGTCGCTGTGTGCGCTCTCGACTGTATTAACCGCTGAAAAACTGGAAAGCTTCAGACAGGCAACGCGACGTTACTCATCGAGTTGCTATCACAATACACCACTCTGGAATATTCAGGGTACACATCGGGAAAATTCCCGCCGTTTTTTTTCTCGTCGTGGGCGGTCCCGGTACTGGCGGTAATTACCGCCATATTCGGTTGTACCGGGAACCGCCGAAACCGAAATACCGCCTACCGCCTAAAAAGTACCGCCATATTGCAGTACCGCCGAAGAAGGACCGCCAAAAAACGAAGTACCGGGAACCGCCTAAAAATAACCCCCAGCAGTACCGCCGAAAAAGTACCGCCACGCTGCAGTACCGCCAAAATAGAACCGCCATCTACAGTACCGCGCTAAAAGTACCACAATGTCGCACGGGCCTGTGAATTTGTCGCACCTGGGAGAGAAGGAGCTTGGAAGAGTATACTGAGGGCGATACTTCGCGTACAACAGTGGTTCGAGTCCAGCTGGCCTGCATCTTTGTTCATCTTTTGTCTTTTTCTGTTTCACTTTTGTCATATTTTCATATATATATATATATATTTTTTTTTTTCTCCCATCATTGGACTCTGTCGTCTGCCCCTCTGGCCCCTATCCTCCCCTTCTACTAGCTAGACGACCCAACCGGGGTTACATAGGAGGGGGGGGCTTGACCCCCGCCTGCGGTTCCTGCCTGAGGTATTTTTATCGCGAGAAGGGTACAGCAATCCCTTCCCTCGCGACTTACGAAGCCGATAATGGTTTTGCTAACAACGAGCTTTGCAACGCGTCGCTTTCATCCTAGACCAGGATTAATTTAGTGAGAAAAAAACTCACTCTGCCGGGACTCGGACCCATGACCTAGCCCTTAGCAGGCTGCGAGGTTACCCGCTAGACCACCGGGGGGAGATATATGAAGCACCATATTTTTTTCTATTATTATTTTCTAATTTATGAAATTGGCACGAGCTAAGGCAGCCAAGAGCGTACAGAAATCAGTGGCCTGTCAGGAGGAGAGGGCGAACAAGTCGATTGACCTTAGCTTGTAGACGAGGGTACCCAAGCGCACTGTAGTCTGGGTTGTGCAGGGCGAGAGGAGTAGCTGATTGATTGATCTTAGCGTTTTAGACGCTATCACGAATTGCCATGTGAAGTGTTTACTTCAATCTGTTGCCGTTCTACAACAAGTTATGCTTCTGTTTCCCGTGGCATTCGACTAATCGCGTTTCAGCCCACCTCTTTTTTTGCATTTTCTCTCTTCTGTTCGTTGCCTTTCGTTTGTCCATTAACTGCTCAATTTGACGATGGGCATGCATCGCATCGTGAAATCACGAAATCATAGGGGAGATATAGGCT